GGTTGTTAATCATAGGGTTGCATGATTCAATGGGTGGGGCAGGTGAGGGAAATAGCAAGCATCTTTTGTGAGAAATACCATATTTACATTTTGTGAAGAAATCAGTTGTTGTTGTCATGTGCCTCTGAGTCACCTGTGACTCATAGCAATGCAATATACAACAGCCCTAAACCCTGCTCTATCCTGTGTCAGTATCATTGTCTCCAATACACTTACCCCCATTGGCCCAGATGCTGAATCAATCCATCTCATTGAGAGTCTTCCTCTCTTGTGCCTCTCCTCTCCTCCACCCTCCCAAGCACGACATCCCTCTCCAAGGACTGGTCACTCCTTGTATCGTGTTCAAAGTATGTCAGACGAAGCTTCAGAATCCTTGCCTCCGAAGCACATCCTAGTCTCACCCTCTCTAGGGTGAACATATTTGCTCTCCTAGCAATCTATGATATACTCAAATAAATCAGTATAAAATGTAAAAAAATTGTAAAATTTAAAAAAAGCATATGGTTTTGAATCCACTAACTGTTCCATAGGAGAAAGATGGATAGTCTCCTCCCATGTGATTTATTGCTTCTGAAAACCTGGTGGAAGGTCAGGTATGAGTCAGTTCTGACATGACAGTACATAACAACAACAAAAAATCTAGGATTTTCATCATTATCATAAATAGCTGTTGGTAAATTACATCAATCAATCAATCAAGCATCAATCAATCACTGTCTTCGGTATTGACATTAACAAATATAAGACACCCTTTTGTTGCATCACTGGAGGGTATTGTAACAACTGAATTGAAAATTGACTAATGAAGTAGGTTTCACATACTTCAAGTCTCCTTCACTTTGTGCAAGCAAGGTTGTGTTATCTGCATAGGTCACTGATGAGTCTTCTTCCAACCCTGATGTCACATTCCTCTTCATAAAGTTTATCTTCTTCAATGCTTTGCTCAGCATAAAGATTAAAAAGGTATAGAGAAAGGATGCAAACTTGACACACACCTTTTTTGATTTTAAAACATGCAGTAGTTTTAAAATAATCTTTAGCAAGAATTTACTTGTATATGATATTAATAATATTGTTTGAGATTTTATACATCTGTTAGATTACCTTTCTTGGGAATGGGAAATAATATGTATCCCTTCTAGTCAGTTGGCCTGGTAGTTGTTTGAAGACTTGAAGTATTTATTGCATTTAATATAGCACTTACTGCAGAAGATCAGCAACTACAAGCCCACAGTATGGGTTACATCTCAACATCAAGAGAATAAATATCCTCACTACTAACATCATGATAGGTGGAGAAAAGATTAAAGTTAGCAATGATTTCATCTTACTTGGGTCCACAGTCAAGATCCCTTGGTACTGAAAGTCAGGAAATCAAAAGACGTGTTGCCAGAAATGTACATGGAAAGGATAAAATCAATAAATGGGACATTTTAAAAAGTTAAGTCCCTGTGTGCATACAAATATTTTTACCAAAAGGGTGAAAAGAAAACCTACAGCCTGCGAAAAAACACTTGGCAGTATCATCTAAGACAAGGGTCTTATATTAAAAGTTTACATAACGAAAGAGTCATAATGAATACTACAGGGACTCCATAAGAAAAAGACCATTAACCCAAAACCAAAGTGAGCAAAAGACATGGAAAGATTTTTCACAGATGAAGACATTTGTATGGCCAATGGACGTATGAAGAAATGCTAAGAATCACTGGCAATGAAAGAGATGCAACTATAACAACAATGAGATACTATTTCATCCAAGGAGCAGTGACAAAATTTAACGAGAGAACAAGCAATAAATGTTGGAGAGGATGTGGAGAGACTGGAACTCTCAGGCACTGCTAGTGGGATTGTTAAATGGTACAACTACTCTGGAATGCAGTTTGACGTGTCCTCAAAAAGCTGAACATAGAATACCATATGATCTAGCTATTGCACTGCTAGCAATATATCCCAAAAGACACAGAACCGAGACGAATGGTGATAGCAAACCTATATTCAAAGCAGCATTAGTCACAATGCAAGAAAATGGAATCAACCCAAATGCTCATCAACAAAGAAATGGATCAAGATATAGTGGCACATTCACATAATGAAATACTATGCAGCACTAAGGAATAACAATTTTGTCAAATACTGTATAACTTGGGAGAGTCTAGAGAGCATTATGCTGAGTGAACTAATTCAATCTCATAGGGACAAATACTGCATATGACCATTATTATAATAATATAAGGATAACTAGCAAGATAGTTACTAGTCTAAAAGGTAAAGGGGAAATGGGCAGAAAATGGGGAAGGGAGGAAATCATTAGGATAGCAGAGTTTAGTGGGCAGACGTGTGTGTGTGTGTGTGTGTGTGTGTGTGTGTGTGTGTGTGTGTGTAAGAATAAGAAAGATTCCATGAGGACTTAAAAAGACCAGGATAGATCAATCAGCATAGATCAATAGGAATTAATTTTAGAAAATACTGTATATACGAATGTATGAAATACAATGTGAATTAAAGATTCTGTGAAACACAATGTACATGAATTAAATACATTGAATATATGTTTTGTATACAAACCAGTATAAAATAAAAAAAAGTATTGAAAAATTGACTGCTAAGGATCTCTCAAAAAATCTGAAGAGCAAGGATATTTGTTTAAAGACTAAGGTGTGCCTGATGTAGTCCTTGGTATTTTCAGTTGCTTCCTATGCATTTGAAAGCTGTAAGGATGAAAGAATTGATGACTTTGAAATGTGGTGTTTTAGGGTACTTAATATTTCGCAGACTGCCGAAAGAACAAACAAATCTGTGGTGAAAGAATTGCAACCAGAGTGGTCCTTAGAGGCAAGGATGGTGAAACTTCCTTCCACTTCCTTTGGGTGTAGTTTAGGAGGTTCCAGTCTTTGAAGAGAGACATCGTGCTTTGACAGGTCAGCGAAATAGACTCTCAAAGAGATAGTCTGACACTGTAACTACTACAATGGGCTTGAACAGGACTACAATTTAAGGATGTTGCAAAATAGGGCTGTTGTTCAAAGGGTTGAGTCAACTCTGACTCATAGTGACCCTATGAACAACGGTTCTGAACCCTCTTCTATCTTGAGCCAATTTCATTGTCTCTAACACACCTATCCACATTACCCAGTCACTGAGTGAATCGATCTCATTCCGGATCTTCTTCTCCTATGCTGTCCCTTTTCAAGGACTGGTTCCTCATTGCAACATGCCCAAAGTATGTCAGATGGTGCTTCAAAATCTATGCCTCTATGGAGTAGCTTGATTTCAAACTTTCTAGGATGAACCCGTTTGTTCTCTTGGAAGTCCATAGTATATTCAATACTCTTCTCCAGCCCCACAGCTCAAAGGCATTCATTCTTCTTCTTTCATCCTTAGTCATTGTCCAGCTCTCAGATGCTTGGCAAGTAATTGCGAAGACCACAGTCTGGATCAGGTGCACCTTAGTTTATAGACTCACATTCTTTGCTCTTCAGTACTGTACAAAGGTCCCTGACAGCAGATTTCCTCCAATGCAACATGTCTTTTGATTTCCTAGCTGCTGGTACCAACAGTGTTAATTATGGAGCCAAGCAAACTGAAGGCGTTAACAATCTCAATCTCTTCGCCATCTATCATGACTGCCAACTACCCAGTGGTGAGAATCCACTTGATGACAACAATGGAGTAGGCAAAAAGGGCTGGCCACCTACTTTTGTAAATCAGGCAGTTTTCATTTTGTGATCCCAAGGATCATAGAAGCCTGATCCTGAGGTGCATGGGTTTGCCATGAGTTGCCATGGGGTGAGTGAACGGCAGCTCACAATAATAACAGGAAGCTTTGTGTAGGATATGCAGTTCGGAGGATGTTCTCTCCTTTCCCACCTAAAGCAACATCTGAGAGCTTTCCCTAGTTAGCTCTTTGTTTTAGAGCAATTGAGCTCCACAGTTTGCTACTTGTGTTTGCTCCGCCCCCTTCTCCTTGGTCCACGTTTCACTCTGGCTGGTCCAGTAGTTGCGTGACAGTTTCAGTACCTGGCTTCCATGATTTCTGGGTTTTGATACTTTCCTAGTGGGCAGTAAGGGATTTGGAGGAAAAGCTCTGGAATTCACTTAAAACAATGCAGTAGGTGAAGTAAGGACTGGGCCTGTTCTTCTAGAGCAGAGTGGCCACAGGGACCACCCTGACCTGGCTCCCAGGCAGTTGCTGGTGTTAAGGAAGAAGGAGGTGTCCATATGATAGGTTACTACTTTCCCTGGAGGTGACTATTTTTTTTTTCCTTCCGGTAATTAACCATTGATAGGACTGAGTTCTTTAGTTTTGAATGGAAGTTGCTGTCGCATAGGAAGCGTCCCAAAGTTTTCACTATAATTACTTCTCTGTAGATCTTTTCACCCTTCGTCCGGGCTGGCTATTTCCCTCTCCGGCACACTACCGCACCGCACACCACTGAAATAGTGAAGATACATTGGTTGTTGACAGTTATTTGTAGAAAGTAGAGCGTTTGGGGAGAAAGGGTTTTTTTTTTAATATATGTGAGCAATTTGTGAGATTGTGAGTGATCTAGGAAAGTTGATGTTTTAAATGGCGTCTCAGGACAATTGTGGAAACTGCTAGAAGTACAGCATAGGAGTGTGTATTCGGGCTCGGAATAGCTGTTTATAGAATAAAAATGAATCATACAGGCATCTAGCTGTCGGAAGACTTTCCTTGCGCTTCTACAAAACCCGGGCTCGATCTTTGCAGAGATCGCAGGCGCTTAGCCACTGGTAAAACCCGGAACACGGAGCCCGCGGCCGGGCCTGGAGCGCCGGCGGTGGGCTCCAGCCAGCCCGCACACTGGGCATGCGCAGGGGAAGGACCGCCGGGTCGGCTCTAGGAGCCGTGACGAGTCCGGAAGCGCCTCGCGCGCCCCTCCGCTCGAGAACTAGTTTTGTTCCGCGTCCTGTGGGTGGGAGACGTGGAGCCAGCAGCCCGAACAAGACCAACCCTTTTACCCGCCAGCACCGCGGCCATGTCCAGCAACAGCTTCGCTTACAATGACCAGTCTGGAGGTGGGGAGGCGACGGAGCTGGGTCAGGAGGCCACCTCAACCATTTCCTCCTCGGGCACCTTTGGCCTTTTCAGCAGCGACTTGAAGAAGTGAGGAGAAAGGGTTGGGGTGCGGGGCCTGGCTGAGGGGTTGGGGGCTCCCGAGGGGCGAGTGTCCGGCTCGTGTTCCTGGGAGAGGGATGGGGTCGCCCGGTGGGGGGCGGTAACGTTACCGAGGGCTGGTGGGAATGGGGGGTTTGACTGTTTGGCGTGGTAGAAGTTGCTGGGGAGTTTGAGTCTTGTGTATGGAGGAACCTACGTTTGTTTTAAAACTTTAGTGAAATGAAAAACTACGTGGGGAGCTTAGATCCCACCCCCAAGGACGATTGACTTATCTGGGCTGGGCCATAGGATTCTGCATTTTTTTGGGGGGGAAAAACACAACAAAAAACAAAACAACAACCCCAGAACACCCCACAAACCCAGAAAAACCTAATTAACCACCATGTTAATTAGGTGGTCATACGGCCAAGTTTTGACAGTTCACTAGAGTGAAAGGGTCTTTCGGGTGTTGAAAGGTGAAGTTTTGATTAAAAGACCCTGTCTTCTAGATCCTTGACTGAAGCCGGGGAAAAGATGATTTTTAGGGTTTTTATGAGTAGAAAGCCCAGTTTATACCAGATTTGTTAAACTCTTTGCAATACATAAAAAGTGCCCTAACTCTACTCATAGTAGTAAGAATATTGTAGAGAATCTTTTTTTTTTTTTTTTTAAAAGTTTCTGTGGGCAGGGAGAAAAGTGCAACAATGAATGACTGGAAAGCCTAAGTCTGTAAACTTTCATTAAAATTAATAAGTAAAAAAAAATGTTTCTATCAACAGAACCTAAAATGTTCCTATCAACAGATCTTAAAATTTTACAAATTAATGTGAGGTTTAAAATGAAAATGTACTGTTTAGTTTTGTAGAAAGTTGGGAAAATACAATTTAAATTCCACTAAGGGGTAAATTGTTTGTGTTGGACTGGTTGAAATGAATAGGCTTACAGGACCCTGGCAACTTTGTTTATATTGTAATTTGTTGTTGATCTCATTGAAGGTTTTCCTTTCTCTGACCCTCCACCTTTGCCAGCATGATGTCCTTTTCTAGGGAATAGCCACTCCTAGTAACATGCTCAAAGTGTGTGACACAAAGTTTCATCATTCTTGCCTCTATTGACTACTCTGGTTACAGAGTTAAACTGTCCAGTGATGTTTCCGAGGATGTAAATCTTTATGGGGGTAGATTGCTACACCTTTTCTCCTTTGGAACTATATGTTGGATTTGAGCTGTGCCTGTTTTGGTTAGAAGCTGAGAGTCTTACCAAGTGCCTTTGGGCCTCCCTGATTGATTTGCTTTTTTTGTTGTGATCCTTCCTGTCATTGATAATGATTTCAATGTTTTCTGTCTTCGAAAGTAACCTAGTGTTGATCAATCCTTCCCTCCATTGTTTTTGTCTCCAACTCCATTTTGGAGTCTGATAAAAGTAGCCATGATACATACGTATTGGGAAGAGTGTCTATTTGAGTTCAGATCTTAGCTATAGCTGGGTATCTGTGGAGGAGGTAGGAACTTACACAGCCTCCCATTCTTCAGTCTTTAAAAGGCTTGCTTGGCTCTACAATCAGCATTCTTGGTACCAGCAGCCAGGAAATTAAAAGACTAATTGCATTGGGAAAGTCTGCTATCAGAGACCTCTCAAAAGTACTGAAGAGCAATGATGTCAGTCTGGAGACTAAGGTGCCCCTGCTACAGGCAATGGTCTTTGCAATTACTTGCTATGCATCAGAGAACTGGACAGTGACTAAGGATGATAGAAGGAGAGTTGATGCCTTTGAGCTACGGTGCTGGAGAAGAGAATATACAGTGGACTGCTAGGAGAACAAACAAATTCATTCTGTAGAGGGTGGAGCCAGGCTGCTCCTTGGAGGCAAGGATTCTGAAGCTTCATCTGACATCTTCATTGGACATGTTGCAAGGAGGGATCAGTCCTTGGAGAGGAGAGGGATGTCATGGTTATGCTTGGGAGGGTGGAGGGACAGCGCAGGAGAGGAAGACCCTCGAGGTGGATTGATTCAGTGACTGGGATAATGGGAGTAGCTGTGTCAGAGACAATTAAGATTGGCAAGGGATAGAGTAGGGTATTGGGCTGTTGGACGTATGCTATTCGAATGCACATAACAATTTAACACTCAGGGCTGTATTGCAAGAAAATAAGTTTTTTATTTTAATTCACAATTGTGGGGTGCCTGGATTTACTGAATTTAGCTAACAATCAGCTGTAGGGTGGAAGCCTCTTGTTTAAGTCATTCATGACCTGTGGCAGGCCTTTGTATTTAAAAGTCACTTGGGCCCTCTGGCCTAGTGTTAGTTGTGTTTGCAAAGAACATTCTTCTAAGTGGTACAGCACTGGTTTGCCATTTTGCTATACTGAGATTTGCCACTGGTGTGTCAGATGCCTTAATGTTTACCCATGGTGGACAGCATGGGTAAAAACATTAAGGCATTTGACATCCACTTCCTAAACAACATGCCTTTGGAAACTATGTACAAACTATAAATATTAGAGAAACCACCATAGTTATAGAACAGGGCTCAGATCTTTTGTTCATAAAGTCACTATGAGTTGTACTCCACTTGATGGGACTTAACAACAGCAACAATCTGTTGTTTATACTTATCTTAATTTCATTTGCACAGTATGGTCACCTGCAATTAGAATCATGATGAATTAAGAAATGGTGGTTACACTGATACATTTTTTTCAGATGTCGAAGAGAGAGACCTGACATTTAATTCAAAATTAAACTTGCTAGCAAGATTGGGTGGTCCATAATGTGGTTAGTATTTGAAATTGGGATTCATTGTTAACTGTATTAAACAGATTGAGAAAGAAAATACAACATGTGGAATAAAGTCTTTGCTTTCGTCTCTGGTGGCCAAGTGTCAAGAAGCTATACTGTAATACCAAAGACACACCGTTCAAATCCACCAGCTGCTCTGTGGGAGAAGGGTGGGCAGTCTCCTTCTGTGTGATTTACAGCTTCTGAAAACCCACTGGTGGGGCAGCTCTCAGTCCTGCCTGACTAGAAGGCATGCAGCAACAGCAACAACAACAACAACAACGTATTAAGATTGTTGAAAAGTAACCTACATTTCCTTTAATTCTGTGCATTGAGATTTTCTCCTAAGGAGCTTGTTGCAGCTCTCACTTCTCTTTAACAGGATATTTCCACTGTTGAATTTATCTGCATATCTGCATTGGTTTATTTTACGTGCAGTTTGCCTACAGTTTCTTAGTGTTTTCTTTAAAATGTTATGTGAAATTCCAAAATGTTTTTCACCTTCTTTTTGTTATGTATGTACCACTGAGCCAGAACTAATCCAAGGAGGAAATTGCCCATCTTTCTCCCCATGGAGCGGAAGGTGGATTTGAACTGCATGCTTTTGGGATTGCAGCACAGCTTCTTAACATTAGGCCACCAGAGCTACCTGTTCAGCATCATATTGTTGTTGTTGTTCTGTGCCATCGAGTCAACCATGACTCATATCCTCTTTATGTACAATAGGTTTGAAACCTGCTCTATCCTGTGCCTATCTCACGCACTGTCTCTGATACACCTGCTCTCATTACCCCAGTTACTTTGTCAATCCATGGTCATCTTCAGCGCTGTGCCTCCACCCTTCAGAGCATAATGTCCATCTCTAAGGACTGGTATGTAAGGTGGAGCCTCAAAATCCTTACCTCCAAGGAATAGCTTGGCTTCACCTTCTTCAGGACAGATCTGTTAGTTCTCTTGGCAGTCCATTGTATGTTCAGTACTCTTCTCCAGTGCCACAACTCTTAAGACATCATCAATTCTTCTATCCTTTTTGGTCATTGTCTAGCTTTCTGATGTAGATAACAGGTAATTGTGAAAACCATAGCCTTGATCAAGCAAGCCTTAAGACTAACGTTGCTTTTTAGTAATTCTGGAGAGGTCCCTGACAGCAAATTTTCCTAATGCAGTTGGTCTTTTGATTCCCTCACTGATAGTATCAAGAGTTTCATTGATCGTGGAACCAAGCAAGCATCTCAATCTCTTCTCCAAATATCATGAAGCTGCTGTTGGCCCAAGGATAAGAATCTTTATTCTCTTGATACTAAACTTCATATTTCAGACTACTGATCTTGACCTTCTGCAGCAAATGCTTCAGGCCTTCCTCAGCTTCAGTGAGCACAGATCTGCATAATGCAAGTTATTGATGAGTATTTTGCAGTCTTGATGCCACATTCATCCTCATAAAAGTCCAGCCTCCCAAGTGGTATCTGTTCTGTGTACAGAGTGGAAAGATATGGAAATAGCATACATCTCTGACGGTCCCTTTCTGATTTTGAATCGGCTGTGTTTTCTTGCTCTGTTTTCACGACTGCCTCCTGATCCAAGTAAAGGTTATGCATGAACACAAGTGTTTTGGGATTCTCCTTCAAGATTAGCCACAATTTGTTGTGATCCACAGAGTCAAAAGCCTTTGCATAGTCTATGAAACAGAGGTGGACATTCCTTTGGTATTCTCTGCTTCCATCCAAGATCTATCTGACATTTGTGATTATATTCCTACTGTCAGGACATCTTCTAAACCCAGCTTGTATTTCTGGTAGCTCTCTGTCAGTGTACTCTTAAAGTCATTTTTGAATGATCCTCAGCAGGATTTTGCTTGTGTGTGGTATTAGTGATATAGTTTGATAATTTCCACTCTCTGTTGTATGACCTTTTTTTCGAACGGGCATAAAAATGGATCTCTTCCAGTTAATTGGCCAGATAATTGTCCTCCAGATTTCTTGACACAGCCTGGTGAGCATGTCGGGGATTCATCTCTTGGTTGAAATATGTTAATTGGTATTCCATCAGTTCCTGAGGCCTCCCGCCCCCAGTTCCTTTACCGCAGCTTGAACTTCCTCTTTCATCACCATTGCCCCTTGGTTGTTTGTTGTTTCATGAAATTCTTTTGTGTCATCCAATTCTTTTTGGTACAGTGACCCTGTGTCCTCCTTCCGTCTTCTTTTGGTGCTTCCTGGGTCATTCAATATTCTGCACATAGCATCCTTAAGTATTGCAACTTGAGGCTTGGATTTGTTCTTCAATTCCTTTAGTTTAAGAAATATCAAGCAAGTTTGTTACTTTTAATTTTCTGACTTAAGCTCTGTGCACATTTCATTATAATACTTTGTCTTCCTGAACTGCCCTTTGAATTCTTCTGTTCAGCTCCATAGCTTTTTGCTTTTCCTTTGCTTTGGCTTCTTGGTACTCTAGTGCAATATTCAGTCTGTTCTGACATCCATACCAGTCATTTCTCCCTGTCTTTGTAATGAATTTTTGTATTCATTATGGTTAATTTCTTAATATCCTCCCACAGCTCATCTAGCCTTTGCTCATTAGTGTCCAAGGCCTCAAACCTAAAAGATAAGTGCTGTTGAGATGACTTTAACAGGTTATCTTTAAACTAAAAGTTGCAGCCTTGTTGAGTACTTTCTAGATGCTAGATATTTGTGGATATTGTTGTTAAATGCTGTTGAGTCGTAGGCAACTCATAGTGACCCTATGTACAACAGCCCTAAACCCTGCCCTATCCTGTGCCAATGTAATTGTCTCTGACACACCTACCCCCATTACCCCAGTCACTGAATCAATGCATCTCATCTAGGGTCTTCCTTTCTTGTGCTGTCCCTCCACCCTCCCAAGCATGAGTCCCTCTCCAAGGACTGGTTCCTCCTTGCAACATGTCCAAAGTATGTCAGACGAAGTTGCAGAATTTTTGCCTCCAAGGAGCAGCCTGCCTTCATCCTCTCCAGGACAAACCTGTTCATTCTCTTAGCAGTCCATGGTATATTCAGTACTCTTCTCCAGCACCACAGCTCAAAAACATCAGTTCTCCGTCTATCATCCCTACTCATTATCCAGCTCTCTGATGCATAGCAAGTGATTGTAAAGACCATGGCATGTATCAGGCACACCTTTTTTAGCTCTTCAGTACTTTAGATGTCTCTAACCACAGACTTCCTCATCGCAGTATGTCTTTTCATTTCCTGACTGCTGGTGCCAAGAGTGTTGATTGTGGGGCCAAGCAAACTAAATAAAGCTGTGAACAATCTCAGTTCTCTTCACCATCCATCATGATGCTGCCAATTAGCCCAGTGGTGAGAATCTTTGTTTTCATGATGTTGAGCCTCAATCCATACTGAAGGCTGCAGTCCTTGACCTTCCACAGCAAGTTCTTCAAGGTCAGTCCTCCTTAGTTTTAGCGAGCAGAGCAGAGTTCTGTCATCTGCATAACACAGTTTGTTGATGAGTCTTCCTCCAGTCCTGATGCCACATTTCTCTTCATAGGATAATCTCCTCCTGGATAATCTCCTCTGCAAAATGATTGAAAAGCTATGGAGTTAGGATACATTCCTGGCATATACCCTTCTCAATTTTGAACTATACAGTGTTTCCTTGCTCTGTTCTGATGACTGCTTCCTGGTCCAGGTATTGGTTTCGCATTTGCACAATCAAGTGTTCTGTGATTCCCATTCTTCTCAGAGTCAGTCAGAGTTTGTTGTGATACACACAGTCAAATGTCTTTGCATAATCAATGAAATGCAAATAGGCATTCCTCTGGTCCTCCTTGTTTTCAGCCAAGATCCATCTAACATTAGCTACAGTATTCCTAGTATCATGACTCCTTCTAAAACCAGCCTGCACTTCTGGTAGTTTTCTGTTGATGTGCTATTCTAGTCATTTTTGGATCATTTTCAACAGACTCTTGCTTGCATGTGATATTAGTGATATTGTTCGATTAATTTCCACACTCTGTCGGACCACCTTTCTTTGGAATGGGAACAAATACAGATCTCTTCCAGTCAGTTGGCCAAGTGGTTGTCCTCCAGATTTCTTGGCACAGCTTGGTGATTAATGCAGCCAAGATGCATTAATAATAATAATAATAATAATAATAATAATAAGTGACTGGAATGCAAAAGGGGACAGAGAAGGAGGATCATTAATTGGAAAGCATGGACTTGGTGACAGATGAAGCTGAAGATAGGATGATAGAATTTTGCACAATCAACGATTTACTCATTGCAAATATATTTTATAAGAAACATAAACGCAGGTTATACACATGGATTTCACCTGATGGTATGTGTAGGAGTCAGCTAGATTACATCTGTGGAAAGAACCACTGGAGAAGCTCAGTATCAGCTGTGAAAACTAGGCCGGGTGCTGTTTGTGGTACAAACCACCAACTAGTCATATGAAAGTTTAAGCTGAAGCTAAGGAAAGTGAAATCAAGTCTGCCAAAATATGACCTTGATTCTGTCCCACCTGAATTTCAGAACCATCTCAGGAACAGGTTTGAGGCCTTGAACAGTAATGAGTGAAGAACTGAAAGGTAGCTGGTTCAAATCGACCCACAGATAACTGGGGATAAACTGCCTGAGGATCAGCTGTGAAGACTTGACTCTGTATATGTGGGGTCTCCCTGAGCTTCGTCACCTGAATGTAAACAGGTTATTTTGTTGTTGTTTTAAATTTTTTCATTTTACTGACCATGATGTTCCATACTAGTGACTGTGACCTTTCCTGATGCTGTGTCTAAAGTAAGCAAAGTCTTAGTGCTTTTATTAGTAAATTTATATAAACCATGAAACAAGACACTTAAGACTAAATAGTAGTTGTAGACAACCTATGACCTTATAGATTCCAGGAATTAGAAGCATTTTGAACAATGAGTTGCAAAATAATGACTGCACAGAGACCCTGAGACCTCTCTTATGGACTTGATGAAACTTAGTGTCTCCTGAGTCTGTGTTTTCTTATTTTCTAAAATGATGATAATTTTTTTTAAAAAAAAACCCACCTCAGGATTGTTACTGAGATAATAAGATGACCCCAAACAAGCTTACCCTGGTTCTCTGCTCACATTTTTCTTTTTAAAATAATGATAATATGTTTTAGGTGAAAGTTTTCACAACATGTTAGTTTCCTGTTCAACAATTAGTACATCAGTATTTTTGACATTGGTTGCTATCCCTGGAGTGTGCTAGCACTCTCCATTTCTTCACTGTCCTTTGTTTCTGTCCCTTCAGTTTCCCTGAAGTTTCTTACCTTCTCATCTTTGCTTTTGGGCACATATTGCCCTTTTGGTCTTAACTGGTTGATTGTTAGGGAGCAGATTCTTTAGGGTTATTGCCCCAGTCACTGTATCAGTCCATCTCATTCTGGGTCTTCCTCTCCTGTGCTGTCCCTCCACCCTTCCAAGCCTCTTGTCCTTCTTCAGGGACTGGTCCCTCCTAGCAACATGCTCAAAGTAAATGAAGTGAAGGAGTTTCAAAATCCTTGTCTCCAAGAAGTAGCTTCATTTGCCTGTAGAGTTCCGGGAGACAGACAGCTTTTCTTGATTTTTGTCGTCTCTGACCTTTTGAATTTAAGAAAGGGTATTTGCTAAAGTTATTGATTATATCCTTCAAGGCTTAATCTTTTGAGCAAGTGAGGTTAGCCACAGCCATGAAGTTAACCAAGGCATGCTGTGGCATTTTATGGCAGATATTTTCAATTCAAGTTCCAGGTGCTTTTGCACAGTTCATTTAAAATCTCTCCTCTTGCATTTTATAATAAGCAACAAGGAGAAACCATATTGCTCCTGTAAAACCTTGGTAGAAATTCCTCCACCCAAAAATATCCAAGGTTATCACTTATAAGTTTTACCTTCCACAGAATATTCAAAGTCCTTCCCCCATTTTATAGCTAGTATTACTTTTCCAGAATGATAAAATACTGTTTTTCGTTGTTTTTGTTCAAACGTTCTTCTAGGTCGTATAGCTCTTGTGTGTCCATTTGCCATACAGAGGTAACTTTTGGTCCCTGTGAAGCTGAACACTGACATTGATGTGTCAGATGTGTTAATGGTTACCGATGGCGGACAGTGTTCAGTGGCGCTCCCTGATTAAAACAAGCTTGGAAGCGGGAGTGGCATTCACTTCTGTAATAGCTTGCCTCCGGAAACCCTGTGAACCTGGAGAAAGGATGAAAGTCACACAAGTGTTGAGGACTTTCATTCATAGGGTCACTATGAGTCGCCTAAGACTCTATGGCACTTAACAACAACAAAGTATCCAGTAGGATACGAATTTTATTTTATTGTTCTTTCAGTGAAGATGTACACAGTATTTTAGTTTGCTTCTTGACAAGGTTTATTCCACTTGTTCAATGACATTAATTACATTCTCAACCTTTCTATTACCTGATGGTTCTTTTTTCATTAATCTAATTTCTTTGTTGTCTTACTCCTTCATCTTTGTTTTAATGTAATTGTTGGCTATTTGGTTTCATATATGAATTTTTAAAGGAACATAATATTCAAATAATCATCATCTTTGCTTTATGAGACAATCTGTTAGCTAAATGGTGACCTCAGGGTCTAATTTTAATTCAGGACTTAAAGTATCTTAGGCAGTATCCAGTCTCAATTGGTTTAGGAAGTCTCTCTCTTTCTCTTTCTTTAAAGTAATTTGAGATTTTCCTCCACATTTTCCTCCTGTCTTAGTCTGTGTATTGTAGCACTGTTCAGAATAGTTGGTAGTGGAAGGTAGCTGGGCATCATCTAGTTCTGGTCTGAAGGTAGATGAGGCCATGGCTTGTGTACTACTAGTCTTGTAGACTATACTTTCTTTCTATTATTTGTCTTGGCTCTGAACAGATGGAGACCTTTTCTTTCATGGGTGGTTGTTCACATGATTTTAAGACTCTAAACACTGCTCATCAAAGTAAGATGTAGAACATAAATTTTGTGAACTATGTCTATTGACATTTTCTTTGAGACTGTGATCCTTATTGTCACCATTTCATTTTAAAGCCTCACTGAAATTATGTTTAATGTCCACATCTCCAGCAGCATTCTGTCCATAACAATAGCAGCTTTCCCCACAGCTCTATAATTTCTAAGCTCTCATCACAGTAACCCAGTGAAGAGACAATTTGGTTACTGACTGGAGTAGTGTTAATGTTTTTCTTTTTTCAAGTAGTCTGTGGTGAAACTCTGTGATATGTAGATACTTTGCTACCCACCCACTTAACTTGGATTGACACAGTGAATGTAACAGTGGGCTCAGGCAATTTAGAGATCAAGAGGATGATGCAGGATAGGGAAAGATTCAGATCTGTTGTTCAAAAGGTTGCTGTGAGTTGTGCAGCAGTTCTGTTGGCTTAATGGTAAGGAGTTGCACTGCCAATTCATGGGCATACACTTTTAATCCACTAGCTATTCTGTAGTGGGAGGAAGATGGACAGTGTGATTTATTGCTTCTGAAAACCCACTGGAGGGTCAGCTATGCATTGGTTCTGACTTGATGGTACATAAAACAGCAGTTAAGTTGTAGGTGACTCGATGGCATCCAACGCTAATTATTGTTGAGTCAATTCCAAATCATGGTGACCCTCTCCCAGGCATCTACAGCTTTTTAAAATTTTTCTTTATTTACATGTTCTTTTTAATGAATTTCAATGAAAGTTTACAGAGACATTGGATTTTCATTCATTCAATGTTGTACTTTTCTCCCTGCCCACCCCTCACCCCCATTTGCTTTTCTCTTTGAAACGTAAAAGAAAAATTCTTCCATTGTTATACAATCCCTCCCTCCAAGTGCACATCACTGTGCAGCCTTCATTCTGGACTCCTATCATGAGAATAATACCTAATCATATATCCCTCTTGAACAGTTCTTTCCCTTATCTGTTTCAATGCAGTTAGCATTAATGATATGCTCTTTCTCAGGCTCTCCTCAACCCTGATGACAGTCTCTTTTTACAACAGTGGCATTATGCAATATTTGCCCTGTTGTGACTGAGATATTTCACTCAGCATAATGTCCTCCAGGGTCACACATTTTGTATTATATTTCATGAGTTTCTTGTTTTACAATGCAGCATAGTATTCCATTGTGTGGATATATCAGAGCTTCTCTATCCATTCATTTGTTGATGGGCACTTGAGTTGTTTCCACTTCTTTGCTATTATGAACGAAGCCGCGATAAGCATGAGTGTGCATATATCTACTTGGGTGGTAGTTATGGTTTCTTTAGGATATATTCTCAGTATTGGAATTGCTGGGCCAAATAGTATTTACTATTTGCAACTTTTTGAGAAAGCGCCATACTGCCTTCCATAGTGGTTATACTCCCATCAACAGTGAATAAGGGTTCCAGTTTCTCCACAACCTCGCCAACATTTGATGTTTGTTGTTCTATTAAATTTTGCTATTCTTACTGGGATGAGCTACTATCTCATAGTTGTTTTGATTTGCATCTATCTTAGAGCTAGGGATCTTGAACATTACTTCATGTGTTTGGTGGCCATCTGAATGTCTTCTTTGGTGAAGTGTCTGTTCATATCCTCTGGCCATTTTTCATTTGGGTTGTTTACCTTTATCTTGTTGTGGTGTTCGAGTATTTTATAAATTCTAGGAAAAAGTCCCTTGTATGACATGTCATTACCAAATCTTTTTTCCCAGTCTGGCTTCCCATTTTACTCTGTTGGAAAAGTTTTTGGTTGTGCTTAAGGATTTGATTCTTAGAAGGTTTCATTCATCTATTTTATCATCTTCTGGTTGTAAATTTTTCAGGATGCTTGGAAGACTGTTTATGTTATGGCTTAGGACTTTTAGAGTTCTTCCAAGCTTTTCTTTAATGAAGTTTACAGTCCTTGGGTTTATTCCTAGGTCCATGATCCACTTTGAGTCCATTTTTCTGTATGGAGTGAGGTGTGGATCTTGCTTGAGTTTTCTGCAGATAGTTTTCCTGTTTTGCCAGCACCATTTGTTAAAAAGGCTGTCATTTCCCCACTTAACTGATTTCATCTCCTTGTCAAAAATCAGTTGACCATAGGTAGATGGGCTGATGTCTGGATTTTCAATTCTATTCCCTTGTTCTGTCTGTCATTGTACCAGTCCCACGCTGTCTTGATCACCATGGTAGTGTAGTAAGATTTGAAATCGAAGAGTGAGATACCTCCTGTTCTGCTTTTAAGGAGTGCTTTGCTTATTCTGGGCCTCTTTCCATTCCAAATGTAATTGAAGATTGCCTTTTCCAACTCGTTGAAAAATAGAATTGGTATTTGTATTGGGATTGCATTGAACGTGTAAATTGCCTTTGGTAGTAGTGTCATTTTCACAATATTGAGTCTTCCTATCCATGAGCAAGGGATATTCTTCCACTTTTCCAGGTCTCTTTTTTGTTTATTGTAGTAATGTTTTGTAATTGTCTTTGAACAGATCCTTTGTACTTCTGGTTAGGTTTACTCCCAAGTATTTTATCTTGTGATTAGCTGTTGTGATGGGTATTGTTTTTCTTAGCTCC